TTCCTTGCATTGACAGAAGTTATTAAGCAACGATGATTCTCAGAGTGATGTTTCATAATCCATAAAACTTCATAGGTCAAACTTATCCCGCCGCGGAGCGCGGGCTGATTACTAGTATATATAGAGTTCAATGGTGCGGCCTGGATAAATATGATACTAGTAAGGAAGGTAGCATCCATTGCCTTATTTTGGCCCGAACTATATACAAACTTTTTACTTTTACTCGTGGTTTTCGAAACTGCTCTTCTGGCCCAAACTATGCACCATACTTCCTTTCTTTGCCCGAATCGGATTTGACCGTTAATTTGAACGGTCAACTCCATTGACCGTTAGTCAAATGCCAAGTCACTTGCCACGTCAGCGAACCGAAATTTTAAAAAATATTTTTTATTTTAAAGCCCCAAAAACCCAACCCAAAAGCCCCAAAAACTGGTTAATTCCCTAAATATTGTTTTTTTTATTTACCACGAATATAGTGGTTTAAAAACTATTTACAAGAATATTATGTTTTTTGGTATGTTGAAAGCGCTCAAGCCTTAGACTCAGGCGCGGCCGCTAGGCATTGTTTTTCAATAAAATCCAGCGGCGCCGCCCGAGCCTGGGTCTTTGGCGCTTAAAAAAGAGCAAAAGCGGCGGCGGCCCAGACTGAGGCTTTGTCGCTGCCTTCTTTTCTTCCACTCCATCACCAATATATTTACTCCACCTTTTCTTCGGTTCTTCACCACCAAAAAACTGAAAGAAGTTTCGAAAGAAACTCTGGTGTTGTTGTCTGGTTGCTGGGAAGATGGCTAATAATAGGTAAGATACGTTTTTTTTTTAATGTATTCTTCATAATGATTTGTCCAGTTAGTAATTAGTGAGTTTGTTTTTTATGTAGGGGTTTTAGAAGATTTGAACTAGCTGTTCGGTGGAAATCAGAGAAAGTAGAGGACAATTTGGGTGTCCATTTCGTTGGTGGTGTAAGTTTTCAGATGACTATTCCATCCCGGGTGAACTATCATAAACTTTGTGATAATCTAATTCGGAGAATACGGCATAGAGACGAAACAGTACAAGATAGTGTTGTGATTACAGGTTTCACTTACTGTCTTCCACAATGGCAGAATGGTGTTTTATTTCATTATACAATGCCTATTGTCGATGATGATAGCTTAAATGTGTTTTGGAATTTTATGGCACAAAATCCTTATTGTTTGGGTGCTAAGATACATGCTGAGCTCAGTGAGGATCGGGGTGGAGAGGAAAAAGATGACACATGGAGCATGCCATCTGATCATGACTATGATGACGGAGAGGAGGAAGACGATGATGAGGAGGAGGAGGAGGACGACGACGACGACGACGGGGAGGAAGGAGAACAACCTAATTATCCTCCATATTTTTACTTGCAGGGTAATGAAGAGGACGGGGAATTATCATATTGATTCATATGTCGTAATTCCAAGGCCTATTGTTGGTGGTTTTGATGGAGAATTCTACAAGGGGCAAATATTTCACTCGAAACAAGCTGCACAGGTGGCGATTAAACACTATGCACTACAACGCAACTTTCAGTATAACGTGGTGGAGTCGTCACCTTCAATCTGGAAGATCATATGTTTGATGCACAAGGAGGACAAATGTCCTTGGATGGTGCGGTTTGGATGTCGAGATGTGGGAGGCGATTGGAGCGTGAGAAAGGCCTAGTTGGTGCATGCTTGTAGCAGTACGACTCAACCGACGGATCATCGCCATCTTGATGTCGACGTTATATCTGAGTCCGTGAAACACTTGGTACGTGCTCAACCAAATTTGAGTGTTCTAACTGTGCAGGCCGAGTTGAAAGATAAGTTTAATATGCAAGTTACTTATAAGAAGAATTGGTATGGGAAACAAAGAGCATTGGAGAAGTTGCATGGAAATTGGGAAGAATCCTACGATTTTTTGCAAACATTCTTGCGGGTGGTCAAGAGAAAAATGCCAACATCGGTGATTGATTGGGTAAGAGTTCCTTCAACTCAACCAGATGGCTAAGCTGCGCTCATCAGGATACCGCTGTATCGGCTATGTATCAGGATGTCGACGATCACTAAAACCTAAAGCTGTAACCCCTGCAGCCAACTGGTCAGCAAACTCCGCCATCTGGTCATAGGACAGCCCTCCTGCTGCGTTCAGTGCAGCAACTCTCTGTGTGCCTGAACGTCTAGTGACATCTCTATACCACTCTCGATGAACGACATGTGGAAGGTCGATGTCTCGGGTCGCCAATGCTCTACGAGCGCAGTAATCAAACCCGGATCACCAGTAAGAGGGGCTAGTGGCAGAACACTAGACAAGCCCGCATCGACGAGATACGGCAGGTAAAGTGGATGGTATCGCACTAAATTGCCCGTATGACGAATGTGGTAAGATCGATCACCAGCCTATAATTAATGCACAAAACTTATATTAATTCAATTCACCTAATATTTATATTTATATATCTAAACTAAACTTATTCTAATACTACTCATAATTTAATTTAATCTAATTCTATTCGTAATTTAATTTAATTATATTCATAATTTAATTAAGACCTATTCGTAATTTAATTTAATTCTATTCGTAATTTAATTTAATTCTATTCTATTCTATTCAGCTAATAAAAAACTATAGAAATAGTTTGAAAACTTACCTTGTTTGCCCAAACTGCGTCAATACGATGGTGACCATGCCCACAAAGAAGTTCCGGATCCACCGGAGCTGTATCGATTGTCGCAGGTGGTGGTCTCATCGAACAAGGGTCCATAAAGCCTAGGAACTGGAGAAAAAAATTAGAACCTAAAAAAAATGCCGCTGGCGGCAAGAATTCGGCCACCGCTGGCGAGAATCCGGCCACCGCCACACTTATCCCTGTAGCGTTCGCCGCCGCCACGACGCCCTCGCCGCCCTCTGCCCCTTCCTTTGTCGGGCGCCTGCTCGTCGTCGTCGGACATGGTGGGGAGAAGCTAACAGATCTATCGGGGAAGATGAGAGCGACGGCACTCTGGGTACGGCGGCTTCGTCGGGAAGCTGGCTCTGGCGCCAGAGATTGGGGCGCCGCCGTGCTTTCTCTTGGCGCCGTCGCTGGGTTGGAGGTGAGGAGGACTGGTGTGGTGTGTGGTGGTGTCTGGCGAGATGGCGAGAGTGAGTGGTGAGGAAAGAAGAAGATAAGAAGGAAAAGGAAGGTAGCGACGGCGCCCGAGACTCAGGGCCGCCGCTACCTTCCTCCTTCAAATCACTATATTCGTGGTAAATTAAAAAAAAAAATATTTAGGGAATTAACCCCCAAAAACTCATCTCCATTCCCAAATCGTCTCAAAGCTCTTTCTCGTCCTCCATTCCTTTTCATCCTTATATCTCTCAATCCCCTTCTCTGTTTTCAACTCCATCCCATGTTCCCCCCCCCCCCCCCCCCCCCCCCCCCCCCCCCCTCCATTACATTGTTTTATCGTCCAGCCATGGAACCTCTCCAAGGCCACAATAATTGAACCTTCCCCACCGATTTAACCGGCATTGGAACCTCCCTCTCCTAGCTAATACTAATGGGCGGCGGGGGCTCCAACATTCTCGATTCCGTCTTCTCTTTCTGCAGTCACAACCCATCGTCGCCGGCCAAAACAGAGCCACTGGGTTCGTCCGTCTACCGTCACCAGAGGGATCTTCTCTAAAAATTTAGCTAGCAAAACAGACCCATTACCACTATTTCCGGATTTGGATCGAGCAATTACTAGCTCCAGAGCTCATTTTCATTGTAGAGGAACGGCCTGGAGTTCGCTTCGGCGAAGAAGCTCTACAGAGTACAGAGGGGTGACGCAGGGGCACTGGGGGAAATGGGTGGCTGAGATTTGTAAGGGATAAAGCGGTTTTGGGGTTCGATTTTTGTTATTATTATTATTATTAGAAATGAAAATGAATGCCGAAATTCAAAATATTTTTTTTTTAATTCGGGTCCACTGACATGGCAAGTGACCTGGCGTTTGACTAACAGTCAACGGAGTTGACCGTTCAAATTGACGGTCAAACCCGACTCCGGGCCAAGCAAGAAAGTATGGTGCATAGTTCGGGCCAGGAGAGCAATTTTAGAAACCACGGGCCAAAGTAGAAAGTTTGTGTATAGTTCGGACCAAAATAAGGTATTAACCCAAATTTTATTCATCACTAATAGTTTGAGTTAGAGTAGGGGTAGATTCATAGATGTTTAGGGGTGTCCCGATCACCCTTAAGATTTAGAGAAAACTTATCAACCTTCTGGTAATAGTTTGAATTTGGGAGAGCAGAAAAACAAATGTGGTAGTTTTTGCAATGAAACCTATAACCAGTAATTATTAGAGAAAATGTTACCCATGCTACAAATAATTTATTGTTAAAACATAAATGTAATCATAATCTAAAAAACATCTTATCAAACCTAATTTTTCAAAATTTGTATCGAAATCCTAATAACAAAATTCTCTCTTCGGCTATCCCCAACCTTATGGTATTCATGAAGCTTGCAGCACTATAAAGTTGAACCATTTTATTCTCTTATTATACAATTGCAAGCGAATAAGAGATGAACTGCGTACCTTTCTAACTCATTTATTCAACGACACTTTGAAAATTATTATCATTGGGTTAAGAACTATGAGTAAAGTAAATCTACCATATTCATTGCTCCATTTTCTTCTCAACTTGTATTGATTTGATCAAATGCAACTACAACTATTGAAAGAAGTTTTCCAACTTCGAGCTATATCAAGAAAAAATTTGACATCGTATAGGCAATCAGTTAGTGAATAATTGTCTAATCGGTTGCTGAATATTGTAAATACTGAGTATATTTCACAATTTTTACTAATATTTAATAGGTATTGATATTTTTTCCGTAACTTCTATTAATTGGATATTTTATAATTTAATTATTTAGATTTCAAAAGAGTATATCCCTAGCTAAAATTGATGGGTCCCCGCTGTTAGTAAGAAAACAGTATACAAACCTTGGAGTAAGTTATATTTTTGGGTATGGTAATAAGTCTTTATGAGTGAAACCTATACCATCATTCTCTAAAGCAGTGTTGTGAAAGCCGAGCCGAGTCGGCCGGCCGAGCCGCCAAAACCGCCAACCAGGCACAAAACCGGCTCGGATCAGCTATTTAGCCGGACTGGTTCTCTGGGGCGGCCGGCGAGCGGCCGAAGCGGTTAACGGCTCGAGCCGCTCGAACCGTTCGTCCGGTTTTTACATTCGGTCGGTTGGTGTAATTAAAAAAAATTAAAAACTAAAAGACCGAAAATTAAAGGGGAAGGTGGGTCGGGGTCGGGCAGAACCGTAATTCCCAAATTTGAAATTTCATTCACCATCTTCTTCTTCGTGGAGAGCCTGGAGACAAAAAGTGTCGTCGCCATCGCCATCTTCCCCAGCGCCGTCGCCATCTACCCCAGCTCTGTCGCCGTCGCATCTGGACTGCACTTCAGCTTCCCCAGCGCCGTCGCCATCTTCCCCAGACCCGTCGTCGTTGCCATCTTCCCCAGCGCCGTTCCCCGTCGCCATTTCCCTCCGATTTGGGCGAGCCCCTGCCGGCGTGCCCCGGTGAGGTCTCCCTTCCCTTCCCCGTTCTCCATTACCATTACTACTCCGATCGATTACCCCCGGTGAGGTATGCCTGCATTTTCCGATTGATTACCCCCTGTATAGTTGTGTAAAACATGGACTGATTATTCCCTGCCACACTGAATAATTGAATATATGTACTCCTGTTAATTATTTATTAGTTACGGATTCTATTTAGCGTCCAAACAAGAACATTCCAATCAACCTATAAATAAGAGATATAGCTGAGTCCATTGAATCTCGCTACATCCCAAGTACAAACCAGCTGGAGGCTGTAGTTCCTTTCAGTTTTGAGTTAGGGGAGGCAATCAATAATAGAGATGTAATCTTGCTGCACAAAAAAGACAAGAAGATGCTGAGAAAACATATTAAAGAATGTGGGGATAAAAAGTGATGTAGTTCCTAATACTACTTAGAAGCTAGATTAGATTCATCTCCTACTACTTCTGGTTCCATACTACTATATTTTGCCCTAAAAAACTTAAACAAAAGCAACACTCCAAAACCAGATTCTATCTACCCATATAGAAATAGAGCTTTTTGATCCCTGCACCACAGACACAGTGGTTGCCGAGTCGTATAGTTGTGTAAAACATGGACAGATTTAACTGGGCAAGCTGGTTCCCATTTAATTTGTAATGGTTTATTCCCTGTCCCATTTAGTAATTTTTTTGCTTACTTGTTAGATTTACTATTGTAAATTTGCTGATTCGATGTTTCTTTTGTAGATGAGTACTCCAAATCCAGATAGTGGTACTCAATCAACAACACCGAGCTCTACTGCTTCAACTGGGCAAGCTGGTCGAGGAAAGAATGATCCTGCTTGGAATTACATTCAAGAACTCAAAGATGATAATGGGAAGGTAAAGGCACTCAAATGCATGCTATGTGGAATTGAGAAAAGGGGAGGGGGGATTCATCGGATGAAAGAGCATCTTGCTCATTCTTAAAAGGGAATATTGTGAAATGTTCAAAAGTTCCCTGTGATGTGCGTATGAGATTTGCCAATATTCTTAAAGAATTTGAAGAAAAGAAAGATGGGAAGAAGCAATATAATGATCCTATCATTGGTGACAAGGAAGATGATGTGGTTGAGTTAGTGAGATCACAGGAAAGGGAAAATGTTAGTGACTTGATGAAGAAAGATAACGGAGCTGACTTTTTTGCTCCAAGAACTACTCATGGGTCGCAACCAGGCATCAAAAGTGCAATGGCTACTCAGGATGCAATTCATAGAGCGCATATGATTTGTGCATAATTCTTCTATGAGAATTGCATATCTTTTAATGCAGCTAACTCAGATAGTTGGCAGAGGATGTTTGATGCTGCAATGGCTATTGGTCCAGGATTTAAGGTACCATCATATCATGATTTAAGGGTGCCTTTACTAGCTGATTGGAAGAGAGAAACCCAGCTAATTGTTGATCAACACCGAGCCGTTTGGGGACAGCGTGGATGTACTTTAATGGCTGATGGTTGGACTGATCAACAAGGTAGAAGCTTGGTCAATCTATTGGTCTACTGTACTAGAGGTCTTTGTTTTCTTAAATTTGTTGATGCAACAAAGATTGTGAAGAATGCAAAGAAATTTTTCAAGATATTTGATGAAGCAATTCAGTGGATTGGCGTGGACAATGTGGTTCATGTGGTTACTGATAATGCAGCTAACTACAAGTCATGTGGTAAGATTATTCATAAGACTTATCCACATATTTATTGGTCCCCATGTGCAACTCATTGCATGAATTTGATATTGGGTGATTTTGGAGATTTGGATAATGTGAAGGCTGTCATTCAAAAGGCTAGAAGAGTCACTGTCTTTGTTTATAATCATACTCCTGTGATTAATTGGTTGAAAGCAAGGCCAAATTGGAAGCAAATAGTGAGACCTGGTGCAACTCGCTTTGCTACTAATTTCCTCTCCATAAAGAGTGTGTATGAGCACAAGGTTGATTTAAAAGCTTTAGCAATGAGTGAGTTCTTCAATGCAGATGAATCATCTAAGACTGCAAAAGGAAAGGCGGTGAGTGCTATATTGTTAGATGCTCAGTTTTGGGGTGATTGTTTGGAGATGGTAAATGTGGCTCAACCAGTCATGAAGTTGCTGAAGCTTGTGGATTCAAATGAGAAGCCCACTCTTGCTTATGTTTATGAGGGAATGAGAAGAGAAATTAAGGGAATCAAGGAGATCTTTCTGGGTAAAGAGACTTTGTACAAGCCTTACATTGACATCATCAACAAAAGGTGGGATAAGCATTTTCGGGGGGATCTAGTCAAGGCAGCTTATTTCTTCAATCCTGCTCTCAAATATGATGAGAAAGAATATGTAGGGAACATTGAGGTGAAGGGGGATATAATAAACTTGCTTGAAAAGCCCCAACTTTGTAGTGATGGTTTGCAAGCATGTAAGGAACTGAAATTGTTCGAGGAAGCAAAGGGGTCTTTTGGTAGGGATTTGGCTGTTAGAGGTAGATCGTCACTTGATCCCGGTAATATGAAGTATCATGATTCTTAATGCAATAGTTGGTCTATTTAATTGTTTTTGTTCTAATAAATTATTTTTCTTTGTAGATGATTGGTGGAATACCTTTGGTGATAGTGCACCATTGTTGAAGAACCTTGCACTTCGAGTCCTAAGCCAAACTTCTGCCTCTTCTGGATGTGAAAGAAATTGGAGTGTGTTCGAGCGGATTCACACCAAGAAGAGGAACAAGATAGAGCATGAAAGACTAAGCAATCTAGTCCATGTGAACTACAACATGAAGCTAGCAAAGAGGTATGTGATGAATAGCAAATGTGTTTGATTTGAGTACAAAATATTTTTGCCATGAAATAGTGACATACTTGACTTGTATTTAATCATTCATAGGTCTCGTACTAGAAAAAGTAAGTTCTTGGTTGATCCATTTGACTATGAATGGATTAATGCCACTGAATTTTGGGTTATGGATGAGGAAGAGGATCAACCTCCAGATCTTAGCTTTGATGAGTTAATGCAAGCTATGGGTGAGGATAATGCTACTAACATTCCTGAAGGAAGTGGAACTACAAGTAGGAAAAGAGGTCACAATGAAGGTTGGATTGACATATTAGTAAATGAGGAATGTTCAACTTTGATATATTTTTAACACATGATTTCTTACATTTTTTTTACTTATTAGATTATGATGGAGATGATGGTAGCACAGCAATTGACATGGAGTCTTCAAGCAGTGATTCATCCGATGCTGATGGTGAATGAATGGTGTTGAAGTCTAGTGATGGTAAATGAAATGATGTTGAAGTTGTATTTGATAATTGTTTGAGTTTGAGACTTTGAGTGGTTTCCATGTTTAAGACTCTTGTTTCATGTTCAGACTCGTGTGATATTGCTTTTATTTTGGAACAATGTGGTGGTTTGGAATTGAAATTTAGATCTTTCGATACTGATGTTTTAGAATTGTTTAAGAGAGTAATTTACTTGTGATTTACCATGATTAAGAAGTGTCCACTATTTATACAGATGACTGTTTATTAGGTATCGGTTCTCAAACGGTTTTTAAACGGTCTAATGCAGGTTGGACCACTAAAGACCGAGCCATTCACGTTTCCGGGTCGTACTCTGGTTCGGTTCTGACAGCATTGCTCTAAAGCATATAAACTAATATTAATTTTTATTTAGAAACAATAATCGATAACTTTAATTCGTCCAAATATATCCAACATATATACACGTAGGTATTTAACACGTAACTTACCCATACTATATTTTATTAACTAGGAGATAGAGTGCACCATAATACCATATATATATATATATATGGTGACTACTTCGGTGCACTCACAAAAATGAGTGTGTTCAATTCACCCACTCAAAAACTAGTATTAAGGTGTCAAATTTTGAATTTTAATTTTTAGAATTAGTTTAATATGATGATATAACATATGATAACAACTAATTAGCGGATTACCCTAAGCCCTAGACCTCCACTTTTGAGTTCTATCCCTAAACCCCAAATTGTAAACCCTAACTCTAAATCTCTAAACTCTAAATCTTTCAAATTAAAGTAAATCTTTAATGGTTTTTGTGCAAATTCATGTGCGTTATTGTTCATGACATCATAAGTGATGATTGACATCATTTTGACATAAATCGCATGTTTAATATGGCGGTTATGAAGTGAGTGCACTGAATGCACCCAAAAAAGTGAGTGCACTGAAAACGTCACCATATATATATATATATATATATATATATATATATATATATAGAGAGAGAGAGAGAGAGAGAGAGAGAGAGAGAGGAATTTTACAATGCTTTAGGGTTTTGTCTTTAGGGTACAAATTGAAGTTGTACCGTTAACATTATGGGACAACTTCAAGTTGCGTCTATACACTTTTGTACTAATCTCTTTATTGTACAAACTAAATTTTTATAATAAAATGAAAGTACATAAGAGTATAACCTAAACTTGTACTTTTTACAACTTTAATTTGTACCTCAAAGCACAAATGTTTTAAACCATAGTTGAAGTGCTCATAAATAAAATAAAATAAAATAAAAGGTGAAAATTAACCTCAGAATAATTTTTCACGGTTTGTATGAAATGATTTCCGGCGGCAATCAATTTCGTGTACCAGCCATAAATGAATATCTAAACAGAAGTTAGGTTGTTAGTTAGGCTTAACTAAACTTCAATAGCTATATGTAACCACATATGTGTCATATGATGATGATCGATCTACATCGTTTCCCAAACTACAACTCATCCACAACACCACTGCGTGTGTTTGTCCACTTCATTGTCGTCACCTGCCCAATTACATATTTACATTGGACCAGTAATAATAAAATAATATAAAAAAAGAAGGAGAAGATACAGAAAAAGGCATGCGATGGGTTTCCTCGATCTTGCAAGCATGCTTGCCAATGGAGACCATCCCTACCCACGATCGAAGGAAGTCAAAAGGATTGTATTGAAGGAGTGAACCAAGACATTCGATTGTGCAGTGACAACAAAATGATTACACGATCCTCCAATTCTTTCTGCATTTTTGTCAACGCCGG